GACAGAGCCGGACTATCCGGAACTTCCTCCACTTCCATAGCGGCGAGCGGGGGCCTAGCCCCCGTTTCCTTTCCTATAGTACTCTGAAAAACTTCTACCCCCCAAAGGGGTTCTAGCCGTAACGGCGACGGATAGAACACATTTAGCGAAAACACCTTCGATGTTTTAGCTGTCGACACCTTCGATGTCGAAGGAGGAACTTCGGGTTGCTAGCACACACAGTTGTCCCTCGTCCCTCGTTACAAGAAGCGAAACCATAAATTATCCATAACAACAGTTAACTGAGATCATGGCTCACCACGCACAACCCAAAGTCATAAACCTAGCAGACAAGTACTGGAGGTCTCCTACACGGCGTCACGGTGCCCGAGGTCCCAGAATAGCTGAACATCTGCTGCCACCCTGTCCACCACGTCGTGGCAGCTAGCCTAAACCCTAAACCAAAAGACTTCAATACCCCTTAACTAACGGATATATACCTTAAATTATAGTAGGATCCTTAATATGATTTAAGGAATATTCCTTCATTAAGGGATAGTGGAGTCTCTGGGAACCCTAAACCGTAGGCCTAATGCGTTATTTGACGAGCCCAGGGTGTAGGGAAACACGAGGCCTGGTACTGGAAGGCAAGGCTTAAGTGACGAGACTTTGAATTTATGCTCTGTTTCACTGTGGGTAGCGGCCGTAGGTACCTGATGCACTCTTTACATGCGAACCAAAGGCCACGTTGAGCCTCACATTGCTTTCAAGGCCTGCGATGGTTTTGCGAATGTTACAAAGAGCCGAATCGCCGAATCTGCCCCACGACGATCTCTAAGTGGATTGTGGTATCAGGATGTGGTGGACAACCGGCTCTAAGAATTGCACACCGCTCCCCCCGATGGTCTCGCATAGCATGGCTTTAGCAACGTTGGTCGTCTGCTCCGTGGACCGGACCATAGCAGGAGTGGGGGGGGTATCCATCACTTATGTGCCGCCATCAACTTCTCTCTCATCTATAGCCCTGCTGATTATTGAAGCAGCATACCGCAGTCGCCCTCGTTCGGGGATGCTTGCTTTCCCAAGAAAAATCCTACAGATTATGCAAGCATTACTGATTAAGCTCCCAGACAGGGTCACAGGTGACCCTACTGCTGCTACTACTAGTACTTTTTCAGCACGGACTGAGGCGCCATACTACTACTACTACTACTACGACGACGACTGCTACTGCTACTGCTACTGCTACTGCTACTGCTACTGCGACTGCGACTGCGACTGCGACTGCGACTGCGAGTGCGAGTGCGACTGCGACTGCGGCTGCGACTGCGACTGCGACTGCGACTCCGACTGCGACTGCGGCTGCGGCTGCGACTGCTACTGCTACTGCTACTGCTATTCAATTGAACGCTGTGCGAGCGGGCTCAGCACATAGCGGGCGATTGACTGCTACTGCTACTGCTACTGCTACTGCTACTGCTACTGCTACTGCTACTGCTACTACTACTCCTACTACTCCTACTCCTACTCCTACTCCTACCCCTACCCCTACCCCTACCCCTACCCCTACCCCTACTCCTACTCCTACTGCTACTGCTACCCCTACCCCTACTCCTACTCCTACTCCTACTCCTACTCCTACTTACTCCGACTCCGACTCCGACTCCGACTCCTACTCCTACTCCTACTCCTGCTACTACTACTATAAGGATAGTAAGGATGCCATCGGAAGGGCTGGAGCGCTGTAGAGGCTGAGGACCTTTCAGGTCGCCCCCTGGGACGCATCTGGCCCCTCAAAGCTCAGCGCATCAAAGATCGCTAGACGTCTCCGGGCTTTTATGGGGACCCTTTACAAAGGCTTTTTGCCTCCTACCTCTTATAAAGGTTTAGACGTCTCCGGGTTTTTTTATCGGGATCCTTTACGAAAGTTGTTCCTTCCTACCTGTTATAAAGGTTTAGGGTTTGGGGTTTTGGGTGTAGGGCTAAAACCTGACCAAACGACGTGTGAGCACTACAAACTCTGCAGGGTCTTCGGAGTAGAGATCGGAAATCTTTCGACTCTTGGGGTTGAAGTTGGAAATTTGTATCCAAGCACTAGGTCCGGAGGCCAATGCCTATCTCATCATATGTTGGGTTTAGGCTGTTGTGTTTGTGGCGGCTAGTCTCTATTGTAGGGCTACGGACTCTGCCACATAATTGTGCTAGCCACTATCTTCTCAACCTGCACCACTACGGCGACGACATCTCATGATGTCTCTCAGGAACATGGCTGAGCTCATGTATATTACATCATGCTCAGGTTGGGCCCGTCAAAATATCTGTGATCATTCTATCTAGTCCTCAACCCCAAGGTACCTACCTGTTTAAGGACTTGAATAAAGAAATCATATTAGGGAGCCCTAAAAACTGACAGGAATCGCTACCAGATTGCCACTTCGTACGTAACGAAACTCGAAAACTGCTCTTTCGACACGCTGGACGGTGGATCGGCAAAGTCAGCTTCGCGTAAGGAAGCTCGGGTACTAAATAATTTTCTCCCAGTACACAACAGCCTAGGCATAAGCAGGTCCTTGCCTGTATCCGTTATTCGGCATCTGGTACCTGGATCAGGCTCAGACTGGAACGGCTATGCCACCTAGAGTCAGAGTCAGCTAGAGCTGCTTTCTTTTATGCTCCTTCCTCATCAATAGGCTCGCTACATTCTCAAAGTCCTGAACCTTGCAGATCCGCTTGACCTCTATCATCATACCTACCCTAATCCCCAGGGTTGTAGTTTCGGTAACTCCGTTTCGGGTACTTGTCACTGACTTATCACTCTACGAATGACCTACTTACGAACCCCCCTGGGCCTCTAAGTAAGTGCACAAGTGCGTGAGCTGACATGAAAAAGAGCCCGGCTGCTCTTAAATCCTAAACCCCTGACCCCTTACCCCCTCAAAGAAGTGTCAACGAAAGAACCCTAAACCCTGAACAAGCCCAGCTGCTGGTAGTAGCCGCTGCCCAGACTGGGCATTTCCTGGCGCTACTCTCACCCCTCAACAATACTTATGGAAGGGCCTAGGGTTTCGGGATCTCAGAGAGCCCAATACCCCTTAATTAAGGAATATAGCTTAAATCATATTATGAAGCCCTATATAATTCAAGCCGTTTTCCTTTGTTGAGGGATATCGGGCTTTCTGGGATGCTAGCTGGAATCGGATTTAGGATTCTTGAATGTGCATCAGGCTCGCAAGCACCTGGACCAAATACAGGGGTCTTATGAAGAATGAGAACACTGAATATGTAACGAAATGCACATTCAATATCAATTAGAATAGGGTCTTGGGTGTATTATGGCGCAAACACAGAGGATTATGAGTGACGATACCGGTACTTTCTTACTGATTAGTCAGGCCCTGAGTGTCTGTACCTGGCAGCTGGCGTCAGGAAAAGTCGCAACTTCTACGAGCACTAAGTACAGCTTGCTCTTGAGACAACGATGCTGAGCATCTACAATGCAATTAACCATCGTCGGCATGTTGTTAAACGGCTCTGGTTGGCCCAGGTTCTGCAGAGGTCTTCCGTCTTCAAGCGAGGATTATGAGCTTGGTGCTTGATGCTGGTAGCAGAAACATGAATTTCCACATCATGCCGTTCACAGCAACTGGCCCGAAGACCAACACAATGCAAAGCCCTCACCGCAACTCTGGTAGTGTCTATATAAGGGCAGGCCCCGCTATGGTGATCCCTGGGTCTTGCTTTTGATAAACCAAGCTGCGATGGGTGAAGGAAATGCTTAGACTCTTAGCTGAAAGCCTTGATGCCTAAGTCATTGCCTAACCCTTGCAGCAATCTTGCGATAACCGGGAGATGTAGCAGCTTAAACTAAGCCCCTCCAAAACAGGCTGTGATGAAGTTTTAGCAACAGAAGGATGTGCATGTGTGCGTTTCCTGGTACATGTATCCAAACAGATAAACAGATGCATTGAGGATAGAAGCAAAACAAACGTACATAAAGATGTGTATATATTACGTGCATTAATTTACTGGAACACAATTATATATGGAGCTGATGAAACGTTGGCTTCCTGGATAACTCGGCCTACGCTCTTGAACAAGAACCCTACTGTTGATGATATAAATCCTGCATTGCCCCAGCACATGTATTCGGTTATTCCTGATTTGAAGCATCACCTGAGTCCTGTTGATTACGGCGATGTTGGCTTGTTTGCTGCTTAGCTTAAAAGGAGAGCTCCTGCTCGGCACAGTAACCCCGATGAGGGAGTGACCATGCCTCTCGGTGATCGGGAGGTGTCGGATAATAAGGGATATACCATAGCTCCCATAGTCTATGGCCCTTAAGGTAATGCAGGATTTATATCATCAACCTACACCCTACTGATCCCCTTAAAGGAACCCCTTAAAGGTACCCTTATAGATCCCTTTAAGGAACCCTAGGACTTGTATTCAACCCTATTCTGTCCTGGCTGCCCCAGACGGGCTGTGGCACCGCAGCCTGAGACGCCCTCTGCGGCGGCGCGCTAACCTCTCTGGGGCCTTCCAGGCATGATGATAAGGGCGTTAATACTTACTACTTAAAGGTTCATGGGACTTTGCAACTAGTTATAATTAGGGTAACTATACTTATAACTACTTATAACCCCAATAAAGGTGCTTATAACCTTACTTACTGGGTCCCATGATCCTCCAAGTATAGAGCATTGTGGTATATAATGGTATACACAAGAGGAATATGTTACCAGATCTCGTTCTATTGCAGTAACTTGGTTTACACTCCTTGCGAAAGCTCGGCAGTTAGCGGGGATCAGGGCCACCATGCAGCAGACATTTCAGAGTATTTATTAGTCCACAGATTAGATCTTGCTGGGTCCCTGGATCATTCATCATTCGAACGTTGCAGGTCAGGGATGGCAGAAAAGCTGTAATGATAGTATTCGTGAAAGGCCTATCTCATGGACATGCATGGTTGCTTCTGCCCGACGGCTCACCTGCCTATCGTTCGGACGGACTTTCTGAGAAATTCAGCCAAGGATTGCAGTCCCCAAGCGGCATCCCTTAGTGCCTCTTGCAGGTTCACCAGGGTGTGGTGCTTCATCGGCGTAGAGAAGTAAGTCCGAGTCTGAATCGTCAAAACTCGCCATAGGCCTCGTACGGTTTGGGGTTTCGGGTTCCGGGTTCTCATGCAAAGGAAGTGGTGAGCTTTGTTTGAGCAAGAAGAAGGATCAAAACTTAAAAAGTTGTTGCTGGAGGCTCCGCTTCGATCAGAACCCATTTCGCTCGAAATGCTCTGCTGAGACAAGTGGCATAGCTTCATTTCAACATGTTTTCACGCCAAAGTCCGGAACATGCGCAGGTCGTGGAAACGTTGAAAGCCGAACAGCATTGTCATGGCCCTGTTCAATCGAAACGCTTCCTTCAGAAGGCAGGATGCCATGAAACCATGGAGGGCTGAGGGTTTAAATGCAATGTTGGCATTTACTTGCTTGCATCTCCGTAGCTTAAATTCGGCTGAGGACTAGTTGTCAGCCAGTGCACTCCCCACCCCTCGTTGCACGATCTCACGATCTTTGTCTACTCTGCTGCTGTGTTTTCATGCGCACAGGCAAGTTCATACTGACTGCTCAACAGACACATTGGTACATACAGATGACATATGATTTACACAAACCTGATTTTACATGCAAACACGCTTAATTACTATATGCAGCAGTCTTCTACCCGGACCGTCGGACACCTACCCCACCGTGCGATTGCATTTGACCTCGCGTGCATGCGCAACAAGGTATACATATGTTTCCAAAGACAGGCAAGCGTGTGTGTGTGTGTGTGTTGTCGTATGTTCACTTAGTGCTCCGCTTTTTCGGAAATACGTACAGCATTTCATACCAGCTCATGAACCAATTTACGCTGTATGTCCGTGCATACCATGCCCAATATACTACGTATTTTTCGCATGTCGAACAAGAGGAGCAAGCCAGCCCCATTAAAAGCATTGTTCAACGCAGGGTCCTTGCAGGCCCGTCAGACACACCAATCAATGAAACGAGACGCGTTGGAGTGCCAGATCTTGTCCTCCTCACTTTTTTCCGGCTTCCTCAGATGCAAAGCCACTCAGCCAAGCTACCCTCCCAAAGGGTCCAAGTATCATTACGGTATATACTTATAGGGTATTTTGGGGGTCTAAGTATATATCATAATGATACTTGGACCCTTTGGGCCTAAGCCCTAAACCGGACCCGTTCATGGGTTCGGGTCTCCATGGATCTTGTCAGCCCGCTGTGTCTTTGTAAATATCCCAAACCCCAAAAGTCCAGATTTGTTCGAGATAGAACAAGTAGATAGAACCAAAATGTTTCAAGTTCCCCCCTTTGGCTAATTATATGAGATAAGATGGGGGCCTGAGTCATGAGAGCAGACTTTGAAAGTTTGGTGAGAACCCTGAAACAGATCCCTCCTAGAGGGCTTGAGGGAACCAAATATTCAGACTTCGATGTTACGCGTCAGATGACTGGTCACGCGGAGGACACAGCTCACATTCCCGAATGCTGCTGCCGCTGTACCGTCTCTGCGAGCCCCCAGACCAAGGAAAGCGCAGTACGGCGCAGCAAGGCTCTACTGCAGTATACGTATAGTATAGCACGGAGTAGTATTGCAACGATCGTTCATCCTCTTGTTCCCTCTCCACGCCCTGAGCCGTCAAAGTCTCAAGGTCCTTCTTATCACTACCTGCACTACATATTTTTCTCTGCACTACGCAAGCAACTGCTGGTGTCGGAGAAGTCTTGGCTGTATTCCAGTCGCGGCTCGCAGTGGACTCTGTAGAGGCAATGAGCCTGAACTCCAAGCCATAATTTGCAGACCGGCGGCTCTTCTTGCCTTTTCCCGCCTGGAGGAGCATTGTGCTTGTTTCAAGACGAGCCAATGTGGGGTTAGCTGCGGCTGACGGGTCTTGATCTACGTGTTGGCCTGATCTTGGGCTTCATTCCCGATCTTCTGAAACAGAAGTTTCTGGCTGGACTTGCCCAGGAAACCTCGCACAGGTGAGACTGTACACTGTGTTCCTGCATTCGCAACTGAGTGAGGGTGCTCAGGGTGGTGTGGCATGATGTTGTAGGGCACACATTGATAGTCAGTAATTAGGAGTTTTCGAGAATCCCCGGCGCCTCCATGACCATGAACACGACGCCAGCAAACACGAGCACCCCCACCACGACGAGGGCAGTGCACCTCAAGATACAAGGGACTTCCCCTTTCGTTCGTCTGGATTGTAAGATGCTGAACCCCACAAAGGCTATCAACTCAGACCTCTACATCGATCCTTTCATGTCTGGGAAGCTCTCCTTCCAGTTAAGACAAGCCAGAACCCTGCACTGCAAATACATAGGCTGAAGAGGATGTTAGAAAAGGCTCGTAACTGTCTTAACTCTTCCAGGACATCGTGGCAGACCATCGCGCGATGTCATCAAATGCTGGACTCCGGAGGATGACCCGACCCCAGACCATGCCCTCAATTTGCGGACTATTTCCAAGAAGCACCACATGAAGCTTCGCTTCTGCTCCGTCGACGGGCCTGGATCTTGCACTAAAGGAGACTCTGGGTGCACCTATAGTCTCCACTGTAGTTCATTGTACTTCCTCTTTCGGGCTACCTCATAGGACCCTAAATATGTATATAATTAATTGGTTAAACCAAGAAAGAAACTTTAATGTAGCTTATAGGTACCGATGGCATTCGGGAGCTAGCCAAGCGAGATCGTTGTCACGTAATAGCACCAGGGCAGTTATCCGAATGTTACAGATAGCAACACCAAACTGTTGCCCTAATCCTGGGTCTCTGTCTCCGTGACGACATCTGCGAGAAGGATTGAAGATAGACTAAAGTTCGATGGGTGAAGACTTCGATTCTGTCAGGCTTTAGGCTGGCGGTTCTGCTCTAAAGGGCCAGATATAAGCACAGCAGCATGTGAAAGTCAAAGCAGAAAATGGTACATATTAAATGCCTATACGTACATACTTACAGACACGGTCTCAGGCCGATGCTGATATCACAGAAGAGTTATAACGTTGTAGAAAGTCAGAGACAGACATATCCAAACGGTGCTGCTGCCACTGTGTTGAGAAGGCGCTCTTACCGCTGTGATAGACTCGCTGCGGATTGTTCCGCCTAAGAACCTGCAAAGCACTTAAGCAGATCCCAGTCGTGTATGCGTGTACATATATGTATACATACATATATATATACATATATATATGTATATAAATACTTATTTATATTAACACTCTATATTTATATGTATATTTACTTGTTTGATTATTTAGTACCAGGCCACGCATTCTAAATGTGCAGGTATCCAAACTTCGCAAAACAAAAGGCTTATACTGTTACGCAGACATTTGTTCATATGCATTTGACATCGTGAATCTGGAAGACGAATAAAGACGATAACAATGAACAACGACAATGTAACTAAACATCCCTAGACCCTGAATGAGATAAACTAGTGGTACAAGGTCTGGAGCAAGTGGTCACACATCGCGATTATTAAAACCACCTTCGAAACGTCATGTTCCAAGTTCTCAGACAAGAACTCAGCAATGGTATGACCGGCTAATCCGGCAGTTCTGGCTCACATGTTTATTTGCACTAGAACCCCAAAAGCAACGTCAGATTCTCCCGGAACCCCTTGCCATGATCAACATGTCGCACTTTGAATCTTTGGTTCGTGTGGGTATTGGCACTGGGGTTTTACCCTCTCGCAACTCGGACATGCCTAAGGAGGTCTCTGGTTCTGAGTACTTTGACTGGTCGGCACTAGCAGCTGAAGGCCTGGCCGTACGGGATCCAGAAAATGTCCGTGGACGGCAACGGCAAATTCCCTTCAAAGGATGAAACCGAACCGGTGCCCAAGGCCGTTCCACCATTCAAGCACCGAAGCGAGAAACCCTAAGCCCTAAACCCAAGAAGACAAAACTCCGCAATTTAACCGCAAAAGGCCCTAAACTAAACCAAGACAAGGATCAGAATAATTAAAACTGGTAGTAAATCTCAAATAAAACCTGTTCCCCTTTTTAAACTGAACCCTATACTAAAACCCTTGTAGAACCCTTAGAGAGACCCTTTTGCAAAATCCTCGTAGTAATCCTTGAAGCAACCTTCTTGTACACCCTCATAGTACCCCTGGCTAAGGGGACCACATGAAACCTGCCTCCTGACTCTCGTAGCATGCCAGATTGGCTGCCCAAAGGCTCGTCCTTCAGGGTTTAGGGTTGATGACAGAGTTTAAGGCCCTCTGTGAACAAGTTTTAGGGTTTGTTGGGTCATACAGTACTCATTGGTTTTTTGGTAGGGTCTCTCGAAGTTGAACTGCACTCCCTTTCCGAAGATCCGAAGCGCTCTCACTTTAGGGTTTCGGGTTTACCTGAATATCAAGAAACAGAAGATGCTGGTAGTCTGCAGTGCGCAGTGCAAAAGGTTTGCGTGCAGCAGCAACAAGCAGCCGGAAGAATGATTACTAGACATACACATATCCATCTCAGATACAAGAAGCATCATATGGCATAAGACAAACCTCATGATGGCGATGCTGATAGCAGTTGCTATGACATTTCCTCTCTCAGAGCACGAAGAATGTAAGAGCAATTCCAACTTGCACAGGTGTTTATAGCCGTTTCTTTCAGCCGCCACTCCTCTCAACCCGACGTTTCTGAGATCGCCGGTTCGCGGAGCCCCAATGACTTTGAATGAAGGGCTAGTGGAAACCAAGAGCCCTCCATAATTGAGATTCGCAACTCGCAGCCAGGCTTTGGGAAGGCAGGTTCACGGTTTTAGTGATTTTAGTCTTTCGGGTTTAAAGCTTCCCCTTCGGCTACAAGGATCCTTGGCTGCGATTTCCACCTTTGCTGCAGTGGCCGCAGAAAGCTCAGCTGCTGTGGTGCCGTCAATGGCGTGGCTAATGACGTCCTTAAGGTGTGGAACGCTTCTGCCGTGAGTGACAGCACTTGCTAAGCTACCCTCCTCCTATCAGATTTTGTTTGGAGAAAGCCGAGTCTTGTTAACTTACCGGCTTCGTGGATCGGATCGTGCAAGGAGGTTGAACCAGATGTGCTTCACTCCTCCGCATTGTGTTAAGTAGTGGAAGCGTCGCAGTTGTTGCCAACACGAAACAGCACACAAAAGCAAACACTGCCCTCAACACAGAGGATGCAAACTCTCGAGACGAGCTTCATCTCTGGTTTAGGGTTTAAGTGTTGAGGGTTTAGGAACATTCACGATCCTACCTCGAAGGAACCGTACTAGCCAACGCTACCACAGTCCGACTATGACGCATGTGAGCAAGAACAACAACAACAACAACAGAAGCAGAACCACCACCACCAGCGCCACCGTTGCGAAGTCGCACTCGTGGCTATGCCAGCAGAAGATTCATACAACGAGCATGCGGGGACAAACGCCCCAATCAATCAAAGATGTGTGCGAGCAAAATTACTACCTTGCTCAGTTCACTGCCAGCGCAGTCGCTATGCATAAACACGGTCGTAGCGAACTTCGATGGTTCCCGATGCACCTGAACTGTTCCGTGGTGTTTGAGGCGGTAGAATGCCATCGGAGCCTCTACCTGCCCCCATGCCTTCGGCAAGGTACGCAGGGTCTACATGCCCTCAATGCCATCCTACGGCAATGCGCTCGCCGTCTCGTGACTCACAACCCTGACCCCAGAAACCAAAAGCCAAAAACCCTGAACACTGAAGACATGAACTCGACAGTCCCAAACCCTACACAATTCTAGGTTATGATCCCTTTATTATAGGGTATATCCGGTATGGCCCCTAAAACAGCAAACAAAAATGGGTCTAGGATATGATCCCTTTATTATAGAGTAGTATATCCGGTTTTGCCCTGAAAACAGAAGGCACAATTGCATGTTCCAGGCACGTGAAGCTCACCAAATTCAGATGCATCCTGGACCTGCTCAGGGGTCTGAAGGTAACACAGCAAAAACCACCATAATCAGACTGATAAGAATGAAGGTAACACAGCGAATAGAAACCGAAGTCATAATGAGCATAATGACGAAGGTAAGACAGTTATTATAACCACCAAAATCAAAATTAAAATACTAAGCTCCACACACCGACATTCGAAGTTCCTACAGCTCACCGCAGGTGCATGTGGACTCTTCGTGGCAGGCTCGGCGCAACCCTGAATATCGCGTTTGTAAACCCCTTACCTGAACTGTGGCAAGGCCCTAAACCCCACCTTAACCCTGAATAACCTACCTTTTGAAGGGTTCCCTATTATGATTTCCTTATATAAATAAGTCCTTAAAAAGATAGGTTCTTCAGGGTTCAAGTCCTTACCAGGTGGAGCCCTGGAGCACGCTTTCCGCCCCTCCCTTCCAAAACACAATGGCGAAATCAAGGCCAAAGCCCCAAACCTTCAGGGTTTCGGGTTTAGGCTAGTAACCTGGGAATAAAAGGGGCTCCCTGATTGGTATTGGGTAACTCTAAGGACTACAAAAAGGGAATAAGGGTACTACTGGGCATCCTAGTATAACCCTTTGATCCCTGCGGCCTCTAACCCGAAACTCGGCGAAACCCTGTAAGGGATTTTTTTGGGGATGACTACATTATGTACTGAATTTCAGCATATTACATTATGTTATAGCTACTACAGGATATATTCCAATATATTATCATAGCATGTTGTACTATAGTCCGTTATATTTTACTCTCACCCACTACATTGCAATATATTGCCATGTAAGCATGCAGAGTCTGCGACCATTGGCTGAGATCCCTGCAATATCTTCTAGTAGATTCCGACTACTGGCCCGGCCTTCTCCGCCATGCGCACGTCGAACCGCGAGGGCAACGAACCCAAGACTTCGTCGCCCTGCACCTTAGTGGATTTAGGCTTATAGGGTTTGGCTAAGGTTCAGGCTGGGTTTAGGGGTTTAAGGTGCTTGTTTCCTTGTTCAGGGGGGCTTCCATAAATTAGTCTGTAGATGTTTTTTTCTGTTAACGTCCCTGTTTCGGTCTCGCAGAGTCGAAAAGCGGATTCCCTTGGTGGATTTAGGGTTCAAGCTAGGGTCTACGCTGGGTTTAGGGGATTTATTTTTTTTTAGGGTTTAGGGTGCTTCGTTCCCTATTCAGAAGGCTTCCAAATTTTACTCTGCGGGAGGGTTTAGCAGTTTAGAGTTTTGGCACCAAGGTCTTTGCGTCATAAGGCTTGTTTTTGCGAATAAGAAAAACGTTTAGGGCTTTAAAACGTGGTCTTTCGGTGGATAAAATGATAAGAATGGGCTTTGGGTTTTGGGGCTTTACCTGAACATAGGTATAGAGGGAGGGTATATAAGGGAATACAAGTACCAATATGTTGGCACCTTAGGGCTTTGGACTCACACTCGGACAGCTCCAAGCGAGGAGGAACCCCAGAGCCACTTTGAGAAGTTACACTGTGAGGTGAAGCGGGCTTCCAGCCACGTTTCAATAAGACACCAATTTGCAACAACCGGACTACATCTTTCACGCAGAGTTGGCACAGTACAAGCACCGGCACTACACATGTTTCGCTCAGCGGAGAAAAGGAATAAAGATGTGGGCAATCACCTCCAATACCTCCGCATCAACAAGTAGATCATGCACCCTTCGTGAAATTGCTGGGCAGGTGAATTGAATTCCCTGGGATGATATGCGGCGCCTTTACAATGCGATTTGGGTTTGCGGGTGTATATATTCTCTCTCGAAGACTTAGAGGTCTGCGGGGCAGGTATTAAACAATAAATCGTGTGCATAATTCCTCAGGCTCCCAGATTAACCACTGCGCGTTAGTTTTCCGCTGCCTGACGACATCGGGGACCAAGTCGCCGGTACCCTTCTGGAAAATATGGAGAGGAAAAAGGTGGTCGGATGATTCAATAGATGTCGGCATTGAAATTTACGTGCTTCGACGGTCAAAACCAGCCGGGAATCCCTGCATCCGTATGCCGTATGCCAGGCATACTACGAGTACTACTTCATTCTCATAGAAGGGGAGATTTCAAGCGCCACTCACTCACAACCCTCAAGCCCTACTTTAGGGCAACCCCTCCCCTGCGAAACCGAAACTGTGCAAGCAAGAGGCCTTTGCAATGCCGCCGAGGCCTGGGGACTAATACTTAATCATGGGACTTAGTAAGTAAGGTTATAAGTACCTTAATTGGGGCTAGAAGTAGTTATAAGTATAGTTACCCTAGTAATAGCCCGAGTTCCTAAGTCCCATGATCCTTCAAAAATATAGGGGCCTTGACAAGTAGAATAGGGTTTTGGGGTGAATTTATACTATATGGTTCTAATAAGGAGCCCCCAAAATAGCAAAGCTAATTATTAAGGCCTCTATAGTACGGTTTAGCGTTTAGGGTTTCGGGTTTGGTTCACAGGTCCTACTGGATTAGGGCCTATAAGGGTTTGCAGGCCCTACTTGTTTACGGTACTGATTTAAGGTTCAGAATATAGGAGAGCTCATAGGTCCTACTTATCGTCTGTACTTGTTGGGGGACTGCGGGTGTGCATCTTACATATCTGATTAAGGTACTTTTCTAGGGTTTACGCTTCATATGTCATAAGTACACCAGCACTACTGGATTATTTCGAATACCTATTCAGGGGTTTCGGGTTTAGCTTAGGGCTTAGGGTTCATAGGTCATACTTGGAGGCCCAGGGGGCTTAGTAAGTAGATTATAAGTAGGGTAACTCCGTGTCGGGGACTTATAAGTCCACTTATAACTTATAACCTACTTACTAAGCCCCCTGGGCCTGTAAGTAGGCACTAGTTGGAGGCTTCGGGAGTCGGGATTCAAAGGGCGCTTCCAAGGTTCCATGGTTCGGGGACATTTGCAAGTAGTCTAGGTACAGCAACTACACTATCGCCAGCCACTCAATCTTGCTCAACGAAGCCTCAAACAGGAAAATGCACAAGTTCATACGGATGGAGACCGTCAGAGTTTTTGAAAAGGACCCCGACTGTAAGTTTCTGTGACAAGCCTCTCAATTTGGATGTGCACCGTTGGGGGTACGACTTGTTCATGGATGTTCGGGTCTAGCCGCCCAGAGCATCATACTTTGAACTCACCGTATACAACAAGTTGACATAAGCCGCACCAGCATGCTCTAGACGTAAACTTGCTCGTGGTTCCATCCTCCGCTCTCGCTCTCTCTCTCTCTCTCTCTCTCTCTCTCTCTCTCTCTCTCTCTCTCTCTCTCTCTCATCACTGAAATTCCATGTTTCTGTAAACTGACGGCACCTACTCCCTAAACATCCCCAAACCTTGCACCCCTGGAAGCGGAAGCGGAGGCGTGCCTGGGAGCACATCCTTCTTCACCGTAACGCTTCGATCCACCATCGCCTCGAAGTGCTTTTGGATGTCCAAGGCTTGCTGCTTGGCCTGGCGGGGTGCTCCTAGAGAAGCTTTCCCAACGGTCCATGTACCCAAATAGTATATATTTGGATACATGGACCCTGAGGGCTTGCTTGCTTTAAGCTAATCGGGCCTAGCGTTTTCAAAAGGCAGAACACCGCCGGTGACACCGCCAACAGCGACGGTACGAGTACATAATCACTGCTTGCCATATAAACACTACCCACTGTACCTTGGCTGACGGTGATGATGACAACAACCCGGAATTCGCATCATAAGCCTAAGCATCATCGCTAGAATATCGCAGGTGCGCAAACCTGGGACTGACATCGTGCGACGCTGGGGCTCTTTCAATATAGCCTTTATTGCCTTCCATTCCTCGCCCCCTATTGAGAATGGGTCTCATGGCAGCCTCCTCGCTCGTAGCCTCCCCAACTTACTGCTCACTTCAGAAACACAGCTGCCTAACACAGCAAAGGTATTGCTATCAGTAACTACGCCAAATTCCGACATTTCGTCTAAAAAAATCTTCCGTGGAACAACCTCCAGCTATCGAGCCTGATCCGCCAAAGCTGTCTGAGAGGCCTGGCATTCACGGCTGCTCGATTTGGATTTAGGGTTTAGGGTTCGGGTTTGGGTCGGCAAGCCGGGTTTACGGTTTGGGGATAGTGTTTAGGGCCTGCTTATATGACTAAGACACCATTCCAAGCCGTGTCAGTGAGGTATTAAGGCCTCGGGATCCCTAGTGAGTAGCGTTGAGGGCACAAGGACGAAAGGAATCCATTGCTTGCAGGTTTAAAGTTAGGGCTTGTGCAACAGATGTGGTTGAAGCCTGCAAGCAATAGATCCCCGGTTTGTCTTTACAAGGGCGGAGGGATGTCCAACCTGGGACGGATTAATACATCCGAGCGGAAGCCAGGATGCTCGGAACCGGGCTGGACAGGCAAGGCGAGGGTATCTGGCAGTTGCTATCTTTCGTCATACCTTTACTGTAGTTACAGAACGAACACAGATTTTCAGTCGTTCTTGGATAGCCAATGTGCCAATGTAATGCGGCAACAGTTCCAGTTGGGCTTTCGAGCATGACTCTTTCCTGGAAGGTCGTGGAACACAAGCAAGGCCAACCCCTTTTGGCACGTGTGCTGCGAGTCCGCGAACTGTATTGGCAAACATCGCTAGTTAATGACTTGTTAGATGTGCCTTCTCTGGCTGGTTTAGAAGGTCTGCAATGTCGGCGTGATCATTTAGGCGGGCACACATAGCAGCCGTGTGGCCCTGCAGGTCTACCACATCCTTTGCCACTCCGGCGTGCAGCAACACGGAGATGGCTTCCATGTGTCCTCCCGCGGATGCCCACATCAGAGCCGTTTTGCCTAGATCGTCCGTCACATCCTTGGCCACACCCACGTCCAAGAGCAAGCGCACAACTGCAGTGGAGCCTTGGGAAGCGGCCCACATGAGAAGTGTTCTGCCAGCAGAGTCTACGAAGTCCTTGTTAGCGCCGCCTTCCAGCAACAGCCGCACAATCTCCGTGTTGCCGCGAGCGATTGCTGGAATGAGAGCAGCACGGCAAGCCCAGTTATCAAAGTAGCCGGCTGCTCCGGCTTCCAATAGAAACCGTACCACTTCAACGTGGCCATAGCATGCTGCATCCTGCAAAGCTTCCATGAGGTCACATCCGTCGATCGGGTCGATGGAATTGAAAAGCAAGCGCACAACCTCAAGCTCACCTGCCCCTGCTGCATCCCGCAGCTCCACGAAAGGGATTGGGTCGGGATCTTGCAACATCCTGAGCACTAGCTGCAAATCCATGGGCACCTGCAGCTTGCTTTGATTATTGAGCTTGCAGCCATCATGCAGGAACTCTTGCAGGCACACGGGAAGACCCTTCAACCTGCGAAGGCGGTGCTTCAAGGCCCAGATGGTGCGCAGATCCTCGGCGGTCTCTGCAGACACAGCTGCCACCTCCTCTCCAGAAACCATCTGTACACGGAGCATCCTGGTTTACATGGGCGGAAGGGCTGCATGGATCGAGTGCTCGGACCTGTACATGCAAAGCATTGTGAACCGTCAACTGGTCATCGAAAGTGGCGATCTGAAATGCCGACGCATCTATTCGGGTTGCTTTAGACTCCCATAGAAGAAGCCTCGAAGTGCTCCGTCCAAACCGAACTCTCAATCCGGGATGGAGAATTCAACCCACATAGGAAACGCGAAGGGTGCAAGCCGGAGGTTAGCTCCGGTCGGATGCTTCAGCCGCCGTTTAGTCCTCCCGGATTTGTTCCAAGCTCCAGCGCATCCCTCAACCATCCAGACCCTAAGCCGTCCAGACATTCTGCCGAGTTTAGGGTTTTGCTTTGCACTGCTTTGGACACCAGCAGTCTAGCCGAAGCGTGGTATGTGGCCTCGGGATTTCAAGTTTCGGAGTATCAGCCCGAAGTGGGATAACCAGAAGCTGCACCCAGAAAACCATGCACGAGCCAGAGACCGCGAGCAGCAAACATCCGGACTTTTTTCCCTCCTAGCAAACATCCGGACTAGACCGAAAGGTCTGTGAACTCCAGACTCTAATTCAACCCTCCTCTCAAACACGAAACCATACAGCCTGAAGTGCTCAACCTGTATTATCAATATCAATCTCCGATTTAAAGGAGCCTCGGGTAGATGAACGGCAGCGGCAGAAAGTCGCGCAGCTTGGGAAGCAAGCACCTGAAAGCTTCTTCGGAGGATCAGAGGGTTCAAGGGCTGCGTGAATGTTCAAACTCTGCCAGGAATCCCAAACCCCCTACGTCACCTGATCTGGTGATGGGGAGTAATTTATCATGATCAAGACTACCAGGCTTAGCAAAATTCATTGAACTGAACTGACTCAGCCGGTAGTGCCATCCTGGAGTGGGTCAGCCTCGCTACACTTGAACTACGTGGTCCCGTCGGTGTGGGACAGTCAGATTCTCTGGGCAGGCTCCTATAGTATGGAAGCCTCCAAACTCTCTGCATGCAACCCTGGTCTGCAGAGCAAGCTGCTGGCAAGTCGGATGTTTGCGACCCCGTGAAAGCCATCGCGATCTGCACCGCCTGAGGAAGGAACCTATGAACTACTTACTTTGTCAAAGTTGCTGTTGATACCGGCATGTGCATTCGCATCGTCATGATTTTGATCCGGCTTTGCCTGCGAGGACGGGAGCTAGCGTGTCGAGGGAATGGTTTGGAGCTTCTGCAGGCCAAGGCCTGCTTCGTTAAAAAACAAAATGTTCTCTTGCAGATTGCAGGCTCGGACCAGGCGTGTCGCTTAAGTTAAGCTGCCCGCGGAACAGCGACGAAGAAGTGGCAAGGACAGTTGATGGCAAACCCTTCCCAAATATGACAGCAGAAGCAAAGCGCGAATGTCTGGACATTATACGACTTCTTGTCTGAAGTGCCCTCACAATCGAAATCATGTCAACTACCCAAAACCCAAAACCCTGAACCCTAGAAAGAAAACCTTATGGCTGCTGTATGAACGGGAGCTACTGGCTTCTTCATCATAGGAGTCCTAGCACCATATGAGAAACGTAGGTTTTGCCTCCCGCCTGGCTAGGACGAACCGACGATGCTGAACAACGCAGTAGTTACTTGCAGAATTCGACCCCGACCCCTAAATCCGGCCTTGGCAGACTGCGCAACCTGTTTACAGGGGCGGTTCATGGTGCTGATGCAGTGTCAGGAGTTGTGAGCGTTTCGATTTCGATAGGTCGAATCTGTAGAAACTTAAGCCCAACACTACATGGGATCACGATGGATGGTGTCCTTGTTGGGCTACAGCATAGGGCATAGGGCTCACTGACGAAAACAGGTCGGCAAAGCAGGTCTTGCCAGCCTCATGCACTCAGAAGGGCTTTGATGATTGGAGGATATTTGGGAAGAGGGATCATATTCTATAGTTATGAGAACTACGGCGTATATATTGCATGATGGAAACAAGCAAAGGCCAAATGCAAGGACAACTTAGGCTTCATCCAACATCACAGCATCGAACCTGCCTACTTGCCCGTTTTTTTGACACGCAGACAGGCCGCATCATCCGCATCATTGCCAATCTGTTTCACCGAAACGCCCAATGCAACGCATGCAACCACGGCGAAAGCGACAGCATTATCGGCATCATCGCCTGCTTGTTTCGCCGGGCCAGCCTTGCTTGCCTCCTTACTACCCTCGCAAGAACGGGTTGAGCGCTTCACTTTTTATCGACACTCACCGGTGTCCGTTCCACTTACCTGCCAAGCTCCGTCAATTCACTCTGTTCCGACCGCAACAGCATCGGCACTGTGCGTTTCGTGAGCACGATGCAGGTGACGCAGTGTGACATCATCATTTGCATCGTGGTCCGCCTGCCCACAGATAAGCAAGAGCAGCGTCGCCAGCAGCATTGGCATCACCCCGATGATTGAACGGCAGGGACTAGAAAGTGAACTCGTCAGCGGCATCGCCGGCCACTTGTGCTATTGCCCGAAAACAGCAGAATCATCAATCGGCATGGACAGCGCGTTTTGTGGGGCACCCGTGTAAACCTGCGCCTAGACCACAAGCCCTGGGTCCTGACCCCAAAATGCAAAGAAAAAACAAGCCGCAAGCCCGACAAACCATATGCTGAAATAGAGAGTCTCAAGGACGAAGCGCCTCAATTAAACGCAATCCGCAAGCTACCAAAAACTCGAAACCTGTCATTCAACTCCAAACCCAAAACACTAAACCCCAAACCCAAATCCTAAACCCTAATTACACCCGAAGCCCTAAAACCCCAAGCCGAGGGAGCCTGGACTTCAGGCGCAAAAGGCGAGACGAGTGAGACCTCGTCGGGGGCTATCTTTTTGGGATACTCAGGGTCTCGAGCCGTTGGGGGGGGGGGGGGGGGGGGGTAGGGGGCCTTAATGCCCATAAGAAGGACCTAACAAACCTAGTAAGGCGGGACTACGATAGGGATCCATTCCCCCATTCCCTACTAAGAACCAGACAGGATCCAAGCTTACAGCCCTACTATAGGGGCCTTAGTAATTAGAATAGGGGTTTGGGGACCAGTATACTATAATTATAATATAAGGACCAAAATCTAGGTAATTCTTAAGGCCCCTATAGTAGTCTCCACTGTAGCTCGCTGTTTCTGATTGTTGCAATTTGGGGTTTAAACATATATTTACATATTTAGGTTTGTTAAGCTCGCGAAAACAGGGAACTGCATTGGAGACTATAGGTGTGTCTTGATAAAGCCGTTGGCTGTGAAAAGTTGGATTACTCTTGGCATCCGTCGTCATTTTGTGACTGTGAAAACCTCCGCTATGAATGTTCCGTCTAGCATCTTGATCACTGTAGATGTGGTCATCTGGTTGGTGTCGCTTGCTTTTCTTATTGACACCTACCATTAGTCTTAGCAGCTTTATTGATACCGTGAATGAGACATGGAATGCTGTGGACGAAAGGCAACCAAACAAGTACCAACCTCTGGGGGCAGCCGCAACACATATCAGTTTGACGGTCCGCGCACAGGGCAGTGTAAGAAGCCAAGTACCCTTATAGGATCCCGTAAAGGAGCCCTTTAAAGGAACCCCATTCCAGTTATTAAGGCCCCTATACCAAATCTTTACAATAGCCCTTATAGCAGCCCTTGAAGACTCCTGCCCACTATAAATATTGTCAGGAATTCCCAAATTAGTATAGGTAATCTCCCAAAATGGTTTAGGTAATTTCACAAAACAGCATAGGAAATTTCCCAAAACAGTATAGGCAATTATGAAGGCCTGTACATCATAGTAGCAATGTAGATCCCCTTATAGACGATACCTTCAAAAGAACACCCAAAATAATATAGGTAAGTATCAAGGCCTCTAAGTAGAATCCTCGTATAGAATAGAACCCATTAAAGGGAACCTTAAACATCCGTAATAGTGATTAATGCTTGTAGAATCCCTTTAAAGGGACCCTAGGTAATTATTAAGGCTTAGGTGGGCCCACGTCTCCGGCCTTTTCAGCAGCAAGCCGAGCTTCGCGGCTGCGCTGATCCCTGCAGGAGACTTTCACTTCGGGCTTCTTGGGTTTGGGTTTATAATTTTTCCCTCCTACCTAGCAAGGACAAAGCCCGCATTGCAGGGTAATATAATGGGATTTAGGGTTTACGCTCTTGGTTTACACTCTCACAACTCGGACTGGGGCAAACGAGGTCTGTCGATCCGTGGGATAACTACGCTTAACCGCTGAAGTTTGCCCTTAGTATAGGATTTAGGGTTTTTCTAGGTGGTTTTGGTCAATTTTAACATCCTTATGGGTTCAGGGAATAAGCTTGAGCATCCGGATCTCGTTTTGGGCAACCTGGAACGGCTTCGGGCAACAGAGCGACAGGCAAAAGATTCGGAATGTTCAAGCACCTGACAAAGCCGTGAGAAGGATTCAGGAAGTCTTGGGTGAACACGCGAGGTCGAGTGTTGCCGTGAACCTCGTCATCGGAGTGTCTTTCAGGAACAGAGCCGTAGCGGCGGCAGCTGTCGTCACTTGCTGCCATTGCTCCTAGCGAAAGCTGCCACTCAAACAAACAGTCTCGAGCTTGCGCCTGGCATTTGGCAGAACGGCCTGCAACATCTTGCGATGCAGAGCGGGTTGTCCAAAACCGCCGGTATGAGTCAACAGAAGTGCACTAAACCCCTCAACCTAAGCCTCATGCTGCTCAGCAGCGCAGCGCAAACCTTTATCTCTGTCGAAGTTCCGGAAGTCTTCGGCCCCGAAAAGTAAAAGACCCAAACCCCATGTCCTGATCGGTCATTCCAGCCTCTTGGGCGGCCTGAAGCGGCTTATAGAGTTCATGGTCTAGTTCCTCCACCCCATACTCCGCCATGCCATGTGATGTGAAGCTCCGGGGAGGCTCCATGGGTGCATCCATGCTGGGGAGGAGGGGGTGCGAGACGACATGTGCAGTAGGCAAAGAAACAGATATTCTTGGCACTTCAATGGCTGAGACTCGATCCTCTTTGTCACAGGAACTCTATGCGTTTGCCCCGGAAGCTTTTTGCACCACCGGGCGCGTGGAGTTCACAGTATAATATAACTATCAGCCTCAACCTTGAAATAATAGCACCTCAGCAAACACTCAAGCATCCTAAATCGGCCAAGTTGGCCCCTAAACCTCTAAAGCCCTATACCGATACCCCATAAGCTCCAAATTAAATCACCAAAATCTTCGCCCTCAACCCGAAAGTCAGCAAAGTTCTTCCGGCCTTTCGTGCCGCATGCGATGCCGCATGAAGCTGGCGCTCGGTGTCGAGCCCCGCCTCCGACAAGGACTCTGCGAGTTCGAGATTTGCCTCGCCTTGTGCAGGTAAATAAGAGCAACATATACCTAGTTTCGAGTGTTTTTTTGTGTGGGTGTACAAAAGACGTATACAGTACGGTATACCCACAGATGCACAACTATGCACATATCGTCGTTCTGACAATCGTGAACAACATGATTCCGCCACCGGAAAAAGAAGAAAGTAGCCACAACGAGCAGAAGAGACGTGCCTCCTTCGCCACACGGGCTGCGCACTCAGCCACAGCGACTGAAGCCATCCTAGTTTGCCCAGCTGCAAGACTAAAGGAAAGGAGGAATATGAGGGTTTAGGATTTAGGGTATATGGTTCAGGGTTCAGGGAATATGAAGGCCCCACTACCAGTAAGGGACTCGGGTGAAGCTTAACATCCCCCAGCTTCAGATTCACAGCCCTGGCGTCTTCAACCGTCTGCCTTAGTAACTAGGGTTTTAATTGGGATAACTATAGTTACTTATAACCCCAAGCAAAGTACTAATAACCTTACTTACTAAGTCCCATGATCCTCCAAGTACTGGGGTTCACAGGAGTTTTGAGGATGTCGTTTCGGCCAAGAGCTCCAAAGCCCGAAGCAAACTCCATTCGAAGCCAAAGCTCTGCACTTGGTCGCTCCGAGAGAAGTCTGCCTCCTCAGTTTGCGGTTTAGGTTTATAGGGGTTTAGGGTTTAGGGCTTAGTTTACGGAATCGTTGGGCTTCCAGGCTTCGGAGATTTTGAAACCCCCCAAAGATTGTCGCAGAGCACGTGGAGGCTTGTGGGGCTGGGCCTTTGAGGTTGGGCACACGGGTTTGTTGGGGAACAGCATCAATCGCTTGAAGCCTCGTTTCGGAGTCTGCACGACCCGGGGCAAAGACAAAGCAACTCTAAACAGGTATTTCTGAAGGATACAAAACAAAATCGACCTAACAGGACAGAAGAGGCAGCCGGAGCGTCAGCGGTGAAGCTCTCCACTGTCGTCTTGGCAGCGTGCAGTTGTGCCGTCAGGCCTTCGTATGCCGACATGGCACCACACGGTGTTGCAAGTCCGGAACACAAGGCACAAGGTTCCACCGGCATCGCATACCACAGACATAGCAGACACATTTTGCGATGACATCAAAGCCCAAGTGTCACTGCAGTTGGCGAAACAAGTGCAAGGATGCAGATTGGCCACGAGTAGACCGGCAACCCTTGTGTGTGGGTGTGTGTGTGTGTGTGTGTGTCTGCGTTTGTTTGTCTGTGTGTGTGTGTGTGTGTGTGGTAGTGTGTGTGTGTGTAAGTATGCATGTATACATGTATGCATCTATGCATGTATGTACGTCTGTTTGTATATATGTGTGAAGCTAGTGCCCACTGCAGTTTGCACATACGGAAAATGCCAAGCGTTAATTAAGGCCTGCTTGCACGACCGGAATCCACACCCAGGAAAACTGCGACTCAGCCCCCTGCCCTGCCTGTCAGTGCGAAATGCACCGTACCAAACGAAGTACATGACACATAGCTGCCTACATGCTGGAATAACTATAGTATCAAGGCTGAACGCCCTAGACGAAAGTTCGGCTACCCTTCACGAAGCAAGAACAGACAAGACATGTTCTACCCCGCCTTTCCCAGCCAAGCGAGCTTCTTGCGCAGCCTCTCCAGGCAGGCCAACGGTTCTGACTTTGCGGCGCTTAAACCGTAAGAAATCGATGCTTACATTGGGGAGTTGACGGTGTTCTCTCTTGAGAAGCCGCTGAGCCTGCCAGCCCTGGACACTATACTCATAGACCGGACTAGAGCCCTTGCCTGCGTGGTATGTCACATATGCCCGGTTGACGCGCTTTCTCTGCGCTGCATCGTCGACCTCCCAAACCTTCAAGTCCTGAAGCCAGAATGCCATCCTCGCCCTCTCAGGTCCCGTAAGAGAGTGTCCTATGAATGCTAAAAAGCTTGTCGATGCCTGAAGCGCAGAGTTGGACATGCTTCGCATGGCATCGTGAATGCTCACCTAGGCAGTTGTGGATTTGGGCATGTTACGGCATGTTGGAGGTTCAAAACAGCTCGCGAAACCCTAGGACTCTACGATGGAACTCGTCCTTTGGACATGGTCAACGGGATTCATACTGAGAGGCCTCGTTGGTCAAAGTAGGTTGTGATCCGGGGATCAAGTCAGCTCAACCACATGCTCCTCAACTAAGCCGGCACACGAACCACCGGAACCCCCTGAAAATCAACCGTCAACATCTCATTTAAGTCTTCGTGGGCAGAGGTTGCAACCATACATATCTGCAACTTGACGAGGCTGTACAACATCGGTAAATGCAAGAACAATCCCATCCCAAAGCCTGAACCACAAAATGCCCCCGTAGCTAAACCGACTACAGCGGAAATCGTGCTAGGAACCGAAAGGGATACGGTCCCGAACCGTTCACACACCTGTGCTATGCGTCTAAACCTCTTTGCATAGCTCTTACAGATCGAACCTTGGTAGCAACCCCTATAGCAGCCTTTCTGAAACCCTTCTCTTCCTCCCTTAAAACCTCACGGCTCTGTATTCAAAGCTTCAGAAGTACTTGAGCCATGCCAAAGTTGCGAATTTCAACAACAGGCGCTGCCCGCACTTCACAGGTCCACTCACCACCTCGGGGTTGGCCACTGTTCTTCCGAGCACTTCTCTACACTAGAGTCTGAAGTTATAACCCCCATAATAGACCCTAGGCCATCCTAGGCCGAAACCGTAGCTTTTTCCACTGGCCCAGCTGACCAAGTGCATTTGAGGTTTAATTATCCATTTGGACGCTCACCCTCGCACAAGGCTGGCAAGGCCAGGGGCCGTTTTTGACATTCTTGGGCAAGGCTGGCGAGGTCTGAGGAAGTAGGTTCGGCTGTCTTCCTTATCGGTCTACTGTGTGGGCCGTTTAGGGTTTAGGCCCATTTCGCCCTTAGACATTCGGACTTGCCAGATCAAGTCTTTCGGTGGTGTCGGCAGGCATGATTTGTGCGGTTCCGCCAACAACTGAAGGCCGGCTTTCTGAGCAGATTCTGTTAGTAAGGCTGTAATCGACTACAGTGCAGAGCTACAACCTGGGAAATAAAAATCGCTCCTCTGTGGCATGCTGGCATTTCCGAGAACCATACTACATGCCTGGACATGCAACTAACATGCCAACACGCCAGCGCTTAAGGAGCGGGATCCATCCCTACTTTTTTCCTGCTCCGATCAACACAACATAAGCACTTGCCCCGCCGCATGCTGCGAAGGCGATGCGGTAGCGCTGTCCCCCAGCAAGTGGCATGCCTGACGCTGAAGACGATTGGAATGTAGCACGGGGCCCTTAGGGGCCTTGCCATCAATTCGAAAAGGGTTTCGGAGCAGTTACAAAAGGTGACAATGACTATATACGAGGAAGCCATCAACCGGGACTCAGAGCCTGAAGGATCGGCCGTGCAGCTGTGCAAGAACATTGGCCAGCGAGCGCGCAGATCGAGCATCATGCTCACAACCATGACAGCAAGTCAAGTAGTCCTTTCACTCCTCCTATGACTGGCCAGGCAACTCTTTGCAAGAAAATCGACTACTTCGGTGCAACTTCGACATCAAGCCACAAAGTCAGTCCTATACACCCTGCTTGAAACACAACCAATATCCGAACCCATGAAAATCCTTGAAACACGCGCCAAACTTCAAGCCAAAACCAAGCAAACCTTGATATCGGCCTTCGAGGTGACATTGTACGTGAATGACTCGCAATACCAAACGGTCTGGCCTGTCAAAGAGGTAGAGTTTAGAGGGGTTTTAGGGCGTTGGCTTCAGAGAGTCTAGAGTGTCATGGCTTGACGATTTCGGGTGTATAATATCAAGCTTCACCGCAAACTCGTCGGATTCGAACAGATGGAGCAGGGTGTCGGCTTTCCACTCGTGTCGGCTGGCGGTCACAGAGTTGGACACTAGCGGAGATACTGAACCACGCTAACCTTAAGCCCTGAAGCCCCAGAACGCACGATGTGATCTACTGTCACATGCTTGCAAACTTCCAGGTTTTCAATTGCCAAGAAGCAGGTCTCTTGGCACTGGTTTGCAGAGGCCACGTACCCACCGTTGACGGGATGGTTTTCGTCCTTTCTTGGATCATATCGCGAGGCTGCTTATGAATGCAGTTCCTTGCGATACCGTTGTGCCAGACTGGATCGGGTCACAGCAGTCGCTCGCACTTTAGGCCAAAGGCGAGAAAACAGTCAAACCTCTTCGTTTGCAGCGTTCAGAGAAGAAAGATCTAGAAGTTCACAGCCATGGACGGCCTGAAAGTGTTCGGTGCCTATGCCGATACCTTCCTGCCGGAATCCGATGTAAGGCGGAATCCGAAAAACTTAACGCTGGATTGCCGTACGTAGAATTCCTACAGGAAAGCTTGTGCAAAAGGCAGCCCAAGCTCGTTGAAGGCGGTATTCACAATGGAGCACTGCGGAACCGTCTCTGGGTCGAATCCCAGGGTCCTCGCAAGCGATTCACACAAGAGCCGTCAGTCTGAAGATCTCAGGCACGAGGGTTCCGAGCCATCACGCAAAGTATCGCTGGCAGGCTCGAAGCATGCTCCCTGAGCGAACTTCTGGACTCGCCACTGTTATCCCTATTATGTATCCCTATTTCTCCACTATCGTCGTGACCGTCTGCTTTGATCTGAAAACTACTCTCCTTCACCATGGCTGTGTACCTCCACAAGAAATGCTGCTCAGACTCTTGATTGCCAATTGGACCGGGTCGAGGGTGCTGATGTCCTCAGGCCGATTCCACTGGTTCTTCCTTTTCATTGGGCGTCTTATCCTGACCTTGATCGCGTCCTGATTGCTATGGTTCTCCATGTTGTCACAACTGCCGACGTCTTCTTGGCCCTTTTTTGCATCCAGGTCTATTGCGACTGCCGGGTAAAGAAGTCCTAAAACCATGAACCTCGGTTCCAACTCCAATCCTCTCGTAATCCCCATCTGGGCCTTCGAAGCGATGTATGCAGAACTCGTGGCGGTTGCTGCAACCTCCGTGGCGCATGGCCCACGAGACACGACACCCTGCCTGCTTTGTAACGCTCTTTAAGATCATCTTCTGCTTGCCCCAGAATGCAACAATCAAGCATAGTGTCGTTGGTCTACGAATCTACCAGGTACCACCTACCAGCGCATATATGACCTATAACTCCCCTCTTTCGTGTCTCCGCGAAGCCGGCACTCTCTCCAAAGTGCCAGACCTCCTTTGCCCGGGGCGTCGGTAGTCCCAAGCTTTGGGCAGCTGCGTCGGCTGCTGCCGCAACGGCCTCGAGCTGCTCCTGTTCCACAGGGGAAACCCGGAAGTATTTTCCGATTAGGGACCACACCCGACATCTGCATTCCAAGTAAAACTATAAGTTTCAAAATCCTGGGGATGACTGAAACGTAGCAGCACAGGCCTTCCGTGTTTTGCCTGCCTCCTTGGCTGCAAGCCCGGCGATCCGGGCTGCAGCCTCTACGGCCAGGTCCTGGCTGGAAGACGGAACGTCGCGAGATGTTGAGGAACAACATGCATGCGCTTGCATGCATTCGTATCTTGAACCATGCGGTTAGCGAAATAATATCGGAATCATTGCAGCTTGGCTTGATATGGCTTGAGGTTGCACTTCCTGGTACATCATAGGGACAGTCCCTCAGGCCCTATAACATACAAATCTCAAAGTCGCAAGTTTCATCCAAGTCTCGGTCTGTTCCTCTGCGCTCACTCCCATTGCTGCTGCAGTGTCTTTGGCGGCCTTGATGACTGCCTCCGTCCGCGCCTCCAGAGTTGGGAGTGGCGGGGCCTCTAGGGGCAATTCCGGCTGCTGCTACTGCCTCAATAAAACATACTTCACACAGCCCATTAAGCCAAAGGCAAAGGCAGGCATTGCATATGCCACTTTCTTGAGTCTGCACGCATGGCATTCTATCTGTCCCATCCTGCAGAACTTTATTGATGCATTTCAAGCCGTGCATCTCTGACATAACAGAACGATACTATGGACTTGTATTCGGCTAGGCAGTGCTGTTACAATAACTTCCGCTGGTTAGAAACACCAGCCTGAACCGCCCCTTACACAGCCGCCTTCTCATCATCACCTGCAGCCTGAGCAGCAGCTGCGGAAGCAGCCTCCACCTTTCGCGGTACCGGGTCGCCACACGAATCGGCTACAATCATCAGAGATTATTGAAAGGCCGTGTGCGGCCACGGTTAACTTCCACATCTCGCATTGCCAAGTGTACCATGCCGTCCTGACTGATCACGGCTTCACTGCCCTGGTGGCGCTGATGCGAAACTTTCTCAGGGTCTTGCAGCCAGCTGCAGCTGCATCTCCACTGTCATGCCATGGCTTTCTGCCACAGACTTCGCCGCTTTGGCAGCAGCCGACACCTGCGCTTGGCGAAACAATCTTGATTGATGAGAGATCTGAAAGTTGACTGAGGGATTACCATGTATATATATATATATATATATACACTTGCGTATACATCTATATAAATATAAATATAAATCTATATATATATATATATATATGTATAGGACCTGTAAACCGCTTACAATGCACCGCCCTGCGACCTGCTTGTCAACGCTCGCCCCATTGTGCTTATCGATCCAGGCAGCGGCCGCGCCGACGGCGTGGGCGACCTGCGGGGGTCCCAGAAATTGACCAACACAGCGGCTGTATTCTTCGGAGAAGTTCAAGGTACATGACTACATGAGTTCATGGAGACATTAAAAAAGGACGCTTGCATGGCAGTTTAAGGTAGACGGCCTGGGGTGAAGGGGGCTGAAGTCTGCGGTGGCCTCCTCCCAACGGCGATCTTCCGGGAGCTGCGACGAACTCCTTTGTGGTAACGGCGTGGTATCCGCACGGGAACTATTCAAGTTTCCTGGCTCTGCAACATGTTGTGGATGGACGGGTGCAAGGAAAATGAGGAGAATGATGATGATGGTGGTGGTAGTGACTGGGCAGAAGTCTGGGGTTGTTTAAGCTGTCCAACATTCGAAACCAAGCATCGCAGTGTCTCTCGCCGCAGTCGCCGCCCGATTTAAAGCGATTTTGGGATCAACGCCACCTCCTCAGCAAAATAGTGCAAAAGGCGGCGGCCATGCGTTTATTCAGACTCGATTGAACTTCATCCCTGCTGCTCTCTGAAAACCAAAGTCCATTATGACATCTTCGGAATCCGTATTGGCTTAATTTTGTTGCTACCTGGATTCCTAACAAAGGATTGCAGGCAACTTGCGAGTGCTGTGAGAATTCCAGTTGAATTAAGTACTGGCCTGCGGATTTGCTAGGACACCATCGCGTCGCACCTGAAGTCAAGCCACCTGATGCGAAGGATTTCTCTGCTGCATCAAGCGCGCTCTTCGTGATGGCTTGCGCAGCTGCCTGGCAGGCTATCGGCTATCGCATCAAGAACGGCAACACATGCAGCCTAGCACCTGGACAGGACAAGGGTATGTGTAACAGCGGATCCAGTTCAGCCCGCAGATTCGGCAGCCGAAGAGAGCTGCACAGCTTCCAAGCGGCGATGTATATAGACTCTAAAATGGAACAAATATATAATGAGAAGTCGTGTAGAGTTGGCTTGCCTATCATTATGCTCTTAGGCCGGTGACAACATGTTCAACATGGTTCTGCGCGCAGCTGTCTTATATTGTTTTGCAAGACTCGCTGAGCTTGCTGAGCAGCTGCCTCAGACGCATACGGTTATCGTCGGCAAGCGACAACTGTTCAGACCAACTGCGAAGGTCAACGAAATACTCCAACTGCCATGCGTACTTGGCCTTCGTCTCCTGTCTCTTCGGCAAAGCCCACGGAGGATGTAAAGGCAAACACGCAGATTTTTGTCCGACAAACCCATGACCCACCAAGACCCGGACGGGGAAAATAAAGAGTCCCGAGAGCCGTCCGGCATCCAGTACAGCTGCCACGAGCAGGTCAAAGTCACCTTCTTCATAGCCGACATAGCAGTGCTTTCCTCTCTGCTTGCGGAGGTTTATGGTATACGTGCCCTTCGTCTTGTGAAAGTTCGCAGCCTTCTCCTGCACCCGCCACCTGCAGCCCTCTCCTTTCAGCACGGAGTCCGCAACTGCTCCCGCCTCGCTCGATTGCTGAAGACGAAAATTCAAGACAGAAAGAAGTTCCGCCAATTGCAGATGGGCCCACTGTTCCACCTGATGGTTGGTACTACACTGAAGTCTCGCTTCCCGAAGAGAAGTGTGAGGAAAGCCCGCTTCGTTTCGCAAGCAGCTCGCCAATGTGGCACCAATTTCTCGCGCACGCCAGGCTCGATCGCGGCCGGAGCCAAGAACAATTTCGATGCTATGCTGTTTTATTCGATCACCTGCCACTACCCAACACGCCTTGATGTCAGGAGCCACGAGGATCACAAGCATCCCCTGATACCCCTTCGTATTAGAAAACTGGTATGATTGTCTGCTGGGCCCTCGGGCAGCAGAAGACTTGATCTGCAAGCGAATGCCTGCACCGCAACCCACAAGCCTGAAAAGAGCATCTGCCCGCGCGAAACCACCAATGCGAACTATCTCATAGCACGATGCTTGAGCAGATTGCTGGAAAAGTAGTGACAGGGTGCGGAAAGATTCTTCTTCCGTGCGCAGCTTGTTCTGATGAATTCGAAGTGCATGTTCTCGCGATTTCAGCTGGCACGTCTCAAAGCTTGCCTCTTGTGCAGTTGGGAAATTTAATGACTTCTTCAGTCGCACTCCATCCTCGCACAACGATCGCAAGCGTGCATCATATGCTTTGGCAGCTTCGAGCTCGCACCCGAAGTAGCCCACATGATGCATTATGTTATTGAAGTAGACTGACGAATGATATTTGCCCCGGGCATGGCTCCAATGGACGCCTCGGAAACTGCTGGACACGTGCCGGAGCAATGGTTGCCTCCAGCGAACACGAAGCAAACTGTGAAAAGCGGTCGCGGCGCCTTCCCTGGCTACCATAGCTCTCACCTTTGACATAGTATGCTGACAGTATGCTGCATGTGGCCTGCACAGCCCGACCCTGGGCCGACTCACAGAGAATCTTTTGGAACTTCCTCCCAGTCCGCACGCGGATTTCGCAAAGCCGCCCTACCCAAATCCTGCAAGCCAATGGCTTTGGATTAGTGATTGACCAGGCCAGGCCTAAGCCCAACCTCACACCAACGGAATAACCATAATATATGAACAGCGGCATATCGACGGCAACAATTGCATCCGAGAGTCATGCCAGCGTGTCTGACCGCAAGCAAAAGCCACACTTAGACATGCTTTCAGAAAGCAGCGGCTGTCCAACCGTAAAGTGTACAACGACCATACAACCCGTGTACCGACCGTGAATGTCTTGTGGGATGTCTGTTGCGGCCTCCATGCGCGTGCCGCAAACCTGAGGGCCACTAATGGCATCCAGATCCTCAGCTGCGAGTCATGCAAGGTCTGGGCTCAAGTTTGAAGCTGGTGTTCAACATCATTCGTGGCAGCGATGACAACGATTACAGTATCAGCCAGAACAAGTACTATCCTCATCATAGCAGCTAGAACAGAGTCCAATCAAGCGAATGACATGCTTCGGACGGTAAGCTGCATACACCCGGCCAAGTGTCAGGTCTGGGTGTACCCTTGATTCCCAGCAACCAGCACTGCTTCGTGTTCGGGAAAAAGGTGAAGCTTTCCTCGGTGCAAGCTCTTAAGACTCTGCTTTCCGGCATAAGGGATCAGGAGACTAACACCAAAAAAGCTTGTTCATTATATGTCGGATCCGCTACAACGAAGAGAAGGCCACCGGGCTACCCAGTGACGGGCCCATGCTCAGGCTGGAATCCGAGGTCCCCCTGACGTACGGGGCATTAAGGAACAAACCTCGGGTTTTTCCGGTTCCTGTATTTAAACTTACAGCAAAATGTCGCGTACTCAACTCCAGCTACCTCCGTACAGCAAAGAAACACATGGGAAGGCATGACAAGTTCCGGCCTAGGCTCACAAAACCAGTTCAGGCTGCAGGAGACTTGGCAGTGCTCCGCGTTGTCCACGACCTCACTCACATCTCCGATCTCTGACACAGATGCTAGGCGCTGCAAACCCTAAACCCCAAAAAACGTGTCTCAAAACCTAGCTTTAAGACCTGCAACACAGGGACAAAAATCCTGAGTCGTTGGCACCAGTGCTCACTAAACGAAGCTATCCATAGGACGACCAAGTTATTCGATCGGCAAACAAGTGACTACTGCGAGGCAGAAGTGTCTGCCGAAGAAACTATGCAACCTTGATGACACTAGTTTCACTAATCGTTTCAGTGGGTATGTCAACGTACATATATGTCACACAGCAAGTGATGCTACTCGCGTAATGCATCACGAAATGGGTTCAGGCGTGGCACTCCTCCATTCAGCGTCGGGTGGTCGATGTCATCGTAGGCAACGCCGGCTTGGGCACATTCCTGGATTATGGGCTTAGGACTTTTAGGACTAGGATTTTAGAGACCTCTATTTGCGTTGGGTGCTACAACCCCTCACGGCGGGCTGGGAAAGCCTCGTCAGGTTGAAACGTTGCACAGGCCGGAACCCTGCACCGGTGCCGGTAACAGCAAAACGCACTGCACCTCTGACTGAGACTGACCCAAAGGGTCCAAGTATCATTATGGTATATACTTAGACCCCCAAATTACCCTATAAGTATATTCCACAATGATCCTTGGACCCTTTGGGTGAATCTATTCTTGACCGAGCCACGGGCATAAACGATTTCTCCGTCGCGGGCCCTGCCCCCAAGATCTGTGCTTGGTTCGGCAGCAATGACGGTTCTCGAGGAGGCGAGCCTGCAAAGGAAGCATGCGAGATCCTGGTGCCAAGATTGCATTGAAGCACCAAGATTTTTCGCTGCCTATAGACACGATGTGTACCGACATCGTTACTAATCCACAAACAAGCGCGACCTATGTTTGAGGGGAGGGTGCACAAGTAAATCTAAAGCTCCACCGATCGCTGGTGCAAGACACTCTGCAGACCTGTTTTATCCGTGCTGATGAGCTGTCAAAGCCAGAGACCCTTGCCGACAAGCGACTGCCTAGTGCCTGCCACGGGTGGACAGCCACCTGCCCGGAGACAGGTGCTGTGCTTCCTGACTAAGTCCCAACAGACTGAACCTCTGTCACTGCGCCCCGGCTCTTCTTGCTCCAGCACTACGCAATGACAGACCGATAATCAACTACTCCGAAAAACCCCACTGCTCTGCGGAATCTTCGCAAAACCCGGTTGCGAGGGGACCGGTGAACTCTTGGGGCCAGATTATCGGATCGCGGGAGGAATTCACCTCCCTGCCTCGGCATGGTGCAGAACCATCTGTCTCTGTGTGTGCGCGCATGCTTTCCCGCCACGCGACTCTTGCTTGCATGCGTGGCACTACAGCATGTGGCAAAAATCTGGGAACATGCTATCGGGAACAGGGGCTTCTCACAACCGTCATGACACATGCCATGGCCTGTGTCAGGTGGTCACAGGGCCGTGTCACCCTAGTCGGGCTCCCGAAAATGTACTGCATATATAGCAATATAAAGCAGCAAGGCAAATGCCGTCTAACGAAGCCGTGCACTGAAATCAGCCCCCTCTTCACAGCATCGGAACGCGGGCCTCTGCACGCTTTCCGGTGTCGCCGACAAGACTTTTCACCTCATCGCCCGAGTCAGGCACTGACAAACTGGAATCCTTGAAGTCGTTCCGGACCCACGGCTCCGAAGTCCATTTCCCCAGCAGGTTCCGCAACGCACATGCTTTTCGGGAGCGGATAGGAGATGCATTCTGATCGGTACCTCTCTACTCGCCTTCGGACACCCACCTCTTCGAAGTCGGCTTTTATAGTCTTGACGAGTTAGCCTTGCAGCTTCTATTCGCACGTCCACCTGCGCCGCGGCTTTTTCGGCTTCCAGCTGCTGCTCTGCCGGGCTCAGACCTACCTCGGCCCGAGCAGAAGTACCGCAAAACAAGCATCACAGGGAGCCTGAATGAGCCTTGATTAAATCCTAAACCCTAAATCTGAGAACTGGTTAGAATAGGGGTTCTTGAAGTTTATGATGCCATAGTTATATGAGGTTATACTAAGCCAAGCAGAACAAGCAGCTTCCAAATCAAGCAGGCCCAGCGGCAAAATAGATGCGCATATATGCGCCACAATCGGAACAGGGTTCTGGAGGTCATTACCCTGTAGCTATAAGGATACAATACTGGGATTCGATCATCAACTTTTCATACCCGTATCATAAGGCGTACGGCTCAGGAAGCTTCGACAAAACCATCTGGAAAACCAAAAACGCTCGGCCGAAAACCGCAAACTTGAACCCCCAAGCCCAAACCCTTAAAGTCCTAAAGCCTAAGCAGGGCCGCCGGGAGTCGATCTCAGCCACCTGACGGACGGCATCTGCAGCCGCCTGTGCTTGTTGACTCGACGAGCGGCCTGCAGGAAAATCTTTCCCTTCAAATACCCTCGGCTGGGTTTCTGGCGATCAGAAAAACCACCGTCTCAATACGAGAAGTGCAGCGACAGTACTGCTTCCTATAGGGCGCTCAGAAATTAACTTCGGCGACGACCACACGGAGACGAGGACGACCACCGCAGCCACAATAGCTACACAGGCAACAAGCTAAAGCCACAACAGCAGCGGCAGCAGCCGCCCCTACCTCTTTCGGTACCGCCACCCACACCCCCACCAACCCCGCCACCACCACCGCCACCGCCACCACCACCGCCACCACCACCACCACCACCACCACCACCGTCGACGACGACGTTGACCACACTTACTGAAAACATCTTTCCACAATCGGTACCAACATGTTGATGATGGAAACAACGTGTCTAAAACATGAAGTAATTAGTTGCTGGCGGACAGACATGAAGCACATAAGCAACATCACTCCAAGAAGCTCGGACCTATATGATGCCAGAAACACTGGTTTTCGACCCGGAACTGCTCATACTTTTTTGCCCACGCGGAGTCTGGGTGCCGATGCCGGGCCTAGTTGCCTCATCCCATCTGCTGCCACAGCCGTAGCCACGTCGATTGCGATGCGGATTTGCCGCGTTGTGTTCTGGGCGGCGCCCTCAGAAACATTCGCAGGGGGTACGACATTCAGTACATCATCAGCAAGACTGCGCTCAAGACGACTAGAATCCGGATGGAAGAGAAACACAAAAGCCCGCTCAATTCTTATAAAGTCCGATGATTTTTCGTGATTCTTGCGCCTGTAGCCCTGCAGCTGACTCATTTAGGAAAGAGGCAGCTAACTTTAAGCCCAAATATCTTCAAGCCCGAGACAGCAGCATCGTGATGATCACCATTATTCCCACCAACATCACGTTCTTACTTGTTGACTGCTCTGAGCTACTGCGGATGGACAAAAATCCTGCATGACCCGATGGACAAAAGTCCTGCATGACCCTATATATACCTAAACTATGGGAATTATGGTACTGTACTATACTCGCGGTCATGCAGGATGTTGTCCATGCACCGTATTATTGCTAAGGAAGGCTCTGCAGCAGCTGCCTTTGCTGATGTGGCGGCTTCCACGGCCTGAATGCCGCAGCTGTGATCCGTTTCACGTACCCAAAGGGTCCAAAGTACCGATTTTGTAGAATGTAGGGTTTCTGTATTAGGAATTACTATTCTGATTTGGGGAAGTATTCCCCATAACATTTCATAGGACCTTTGGGGTATAGCTTGAGGCTAGAGGATATTTGCTGTGGTCCCAGACCGCTCCATATAGTGGTCACAAGGTCTAGAGAAACCTAGAGGGTCCATATATACTACCATTATGGAATTAGGCACCCAAAGCCATAATCGGGATGGTCTTTTGGTACCTAATTCCATAATGGTAGTATATATGGACCCTCTGGGAAATGTTCAAGCTCATTGGGCAAAGCGTTTAAGCAACTGTCAAGCTTAGCATCGGCCCTTTTGGGACTCACATGGGTAGTTGTCAAAATTCGGGTCCCTTTTTGGGTCCTTACTATAATACGGCACCTAATATTTAGCGTACCCAAGAAGGGACCATAATTTTGACAACTACCCGCATCAGTTTGCAGGCTACTGCTGAAAGGTTTAATTCCCGTGCTTCACGGAGAGCCCGGTGAGCAAGAGCTCACCAAAAGTGGTTGTTGATCCAATCTTTTGCGTCAGCCCGGTACTGGCATCTGAGGGCCTCACGGCCCAGACCTTCCAAGATCCCGCAATTTGAATATGCCCTACATTATTTATGGTCGGATCCTTAATTAAAGGATATTGAAACCCTTAACCCTAAACCCTGAAACAAAAACCCCTATGGGTTCAGGAAGTTCAGGGTTCAGGGGCTCCCCGGCCTGCTCCACCGGTGCCTTACCTTTCCGCCGCAGTGCGGAGACCATGAAGGAAGAGGCAGCGGAGACGGCAGCTACTGCTTGCCTGTCCACGTCGAAACCTCAATGGTTCGGGGTTTGCGAGTTTTTTTCACACTCACTCTCGGGCAAGCCTGGCGAGGCGAGTTTAGGGTCTGTATATGTCTTACAAAAGGTTTATGTACTTGATTACTTGAAAGTTTCGGGCTTTAGGGTTGAAAAGCTCAGGGTTGTGGCTCGTTGCAGGAAAAGCGCTCTCCGAGTTCTAAACTATCCCTGCACCCTATATGCTCCCCACAAATTCGCCTACAAGCAGATCACCCCATAAAGCTCAAGTCCAAAACCCGAAACTTCGCGGCTCCGACGTGCTCGCAACGATGCCATGGGGCCAAGCTTTGCTACAGCCTGCTGGGCAGCCCAGGCAGCTTGCTGAGCGCATTTCCCAACCGGCAGGTGCAGGTCCTGAGCGAATGGCAGCGTTCATTGCTGCAGAACGGAGGACATGGCAGCGTCCCCCCGCCAGCTTTCCTCCGTGCTGTGCTGGGCCGCAGGACCATATACCCTCCATCCTACTAGCGGACAGCGATGAAGTAGAAGACAAAAGCCAACATGTTGGAGAAGTTGTAATTGACTCCCGAATTTGGGGACCCTATACTACTAAGCGTACTTTACAGGAACCCCCCATTGAGGATCTACTGAAAGTTGAGGTAGCTTACGGTAGCTCTCGGAGCTTCTGGGTACAAGGACTCGTGACTGGGAGGCTACTACAGCTCCGGCCTGCGTGCCGCTGCTGGCTGCTATCGCAGCAGATTTCGCTGCCAAGTTCTTCTGCGCCTCCCAGAACCCCAAAGGGTCCAAGTACCATTAGAGTAGGTACTTAGTAGGTATTTAGGCCCCCAAAGTATATACTGTACTAGTACTTGGACCCTTTTGGGAACACCCAAATTCAGCCCCCAGCCCTCGTCAACTAGACTCGGGTTTTGGGGCTGGGAAGCCCGGGTCTAAGCAGAAATTCGAAAGCGAGCTTGAGAACGGCTTGGCATCTGGCAATGAAGGGCCCTCAGTTAAGATTCCTATCTGAGTGGATCGATCGGACGAGGATACTACGGAGGCTTTCTTGCGGAGTCAGCGCCTTCGCATCCAGCCCCATATCATTTGCCGCATGCAGAGTGGCACTCGCGGCTTCCATCACCGCATCCCGGATTCCTGAAAGAGGGGGCAGGTCCTTGACAAGAGACCCAATTCATGTATGGGAATGCACCTAGACGGGGCATTGTGGCATGTGGGCACATGAGAGTATACCAACACTGCGTGGGAGCAAACCTTGCACAGGCAATGGCGGCATCCTCGAACCGTGCCAGCCCTGATAAAGCTCGGTACATTTATGAACAAAAAACCACAGCCCGCCTTTCCCAAGCCGCGAGGTGTACTCCGCTGCCACCTGCACTTCATGTGGCTTGAATGTACTGGGTTCAGATAAGCGCTGTAGGGTCGGAAATCGGCATGGTCTGCTCGAAATGCAATCCTCCTGTGTGTGCGCATAGGCAAGCACCTGTCAGCAGCCGCAAGCTGCCGCTCAGCTGACACATCTGTTTTTGTTGCTTCTTCTTCGTCACTGCTGCTGATACTAGGGGGTGCCAGAAGTCATGATGAAAGCTGCTTCGGCCTGACCAGACACGAGAGGCACGATCTCGGGCTCGGCGCCTGGATTGTGTCACCAGTGCAGACGGATAGATATCTTGTCTGCCGGGGTTGCAGTGTACGTGTGCACGTATGCACGCACCTGCATGCATGCATGTGTGTGTGTGTGTGTGCAATCTCGGATCCGCGTATGTACTGGAGGAGCTAAAATCCCTGGAAGCGGCTTGGGGGACAGTGCTTTCTACGAGGTCGTTCTACAGCGGTGACAGTGCCAACTGCAGGCTCGTACTGCCTTGGCATGCAATGTCCTCCACATCTTTCCCATGGTGTCGATACTGTGGCATGTACTCCTATCGATGAGAGCCCTGCAGACCGAGACCCTCTTCCGACATTTAACTATAGACCGCATAATATAGGGGCCTTAATAATTCGAACAGGGTTTTGGGGGCCCATTATACTATATATATATATATATATATATATATATATAATCAGTTAATCACTGGGGTCTGCCTTTGAGATCTCCTTCCATGGCCGTCTTGGTGGCCGCCGTGGCTGCGAAAAGTTGTTCGGCTAGGCCTAGGCCCTCCTGCGGGCACAGCAGCAAGGCACAGCTTAGGATTAAGGGGTTTACGGGTTTGGGGGCTTTAGGGTTTAGGGGTTAAGGGCTTTAGGGTGTATGGGTTTAGGGCTTTAGGGTTTAGGGGTTTAGGGTTTAGGGGGTTTAGGGGTTTCGACGCTCACACTCGCACAGGCAGGCAAGGCTCCACATAGTCCACTGTATCTCCACACACGCCAAACATCTCAAGGGTACCCGCAACAAGCAATCAGCACATATAACTGTATCAAGCAACCATGTAGTGGCATACCCCCAAGACATGTCTGGCACAAGTTTGGGCAAAGCCCCTATTTCAAAAGGCTACTATCGCCCCGACTACTATAGACAAGGGCACTCAGGCTCAAGACACAAATTCCCAAATGTATATGTCAATTCATCAATTCAACTGAATTCCATCATCCGCTCACTTGCCAAAATGGCATCCACGCATGCAAGGAGGACCTGCATGTCAAATTCCAAATTCAGGTTAGCGCTCTGCACGCAGCTGTGCCATATGTCATGCAGTGCCACATCACGCAGAACCGGTATTCCCAGTAGAATTCCTTGCAGATTCCGCAGCCAAAGGCCATCGTTGTGCCAGCTTGCACTCACATGCATCACCACTGCGAATTCACGAGTTTGGAGTGTCTAAGAGCATCCCGAACGCATAAATTCACTCATGCAGACCTCGTCACCGACAAAGGCGATGGTTGTCCATGCTGCTGCAAATGCAAATTGCATGAATTCATGAATTCAGGACAGGCTTCAGTCACATGCAGGGCAGATTGGAAGGTAGCCTGTTCGTCCTGAACTCAAGAATTCATACTTGCAGTGCACTCCCAGCAATGCTGGCCAAAGTTGCCCTGCATCTTCAGCGGTGCTGTGGTTGGGCATGCAGGGGAAGCGTATGCGGATCCAGCCATGCCAGCTCCAAGCGATTCTGGATGATCTGCACCGAAGCTTTAGGGATGTTGCGTGCAGCATCAGAAATCAAGTGCAGGAGTTCTCAAGTGCAGGAGTTCTCGCCTCTCATCGTCCGGCGGCGTTCTGTTGACCGGTGTCTCTGCCAGTCGCACGTCAAGTACCTCGATCATTCTGGTGAAGGCATCCACTGTATCCTGCAGTGTCTCTCGCAGCACCGCAGTCGTCCAGCCAGCATCATGCCGTTTGTAGTGGTCAATCGCCCTCATCGCATGACCGATGTGCCTCACCAGCGAGGGCGGCACACCATTCTCGTAAAGGCCCTGTGCTTCCATCTCACTGATGGGAGCCAGCGGCCTGTTCGGCGACCTGGTTCTCGATCGAGATCTCGTCCGTGCAGGGCTCCCGTCTCTTGCTGTAGCCATGGCGCCAGCGTTCCACGCGGGTTAGGGGAGGTAACAGAAGTGAAGTACTAAATGCCCCAGTTAAATGCCCCAACCACAAGTGCCCCAGCCCCTTTGGTGCGTGCGCATGAATGGGAGAGCACAGCAAAGCGCACCTCACCTGAGAGCATCGGCTGCACCATCACATCATCACCCATCGAGCGGAGCTCGTAATAACAAACATGTCAAAATGTTCCCAGACCTACGTTTTGCTGTAGGTGCAGTGGGATCTGGTGGACCTGATGAAAGCAGGCATGATGATGTTGCGAAGTTCAGGGATTTGAGGGAGGATGTTCCGAGAGGTGTTGTGGCCCGGGACGTACCACCGGCGACCGAGGGGGGGGTTTTCTCAAGTGATTAGCGGCCCTGGACATACCACCGGCGGCCAATCTCCTTACTGTAGAGTAGCGTGGGTGTCCTTAAATGATCCAGATGAGCGATGGCCTGATGATGTGTAGGTTTGGGGGTTTGGCCGAAATGAACCTGATGAAAGCAGGAATGATGATGGGCTGTTGTGGGGGCATGGGCTGTGTCAGTGGGGGAAGTTTTATGGACCTGACGAAAGCAGGCATGGTGATGAGTTACGACTGGGTGACTCAGGTCGGGCAAGGCAGGCATTCACGGGCCACTGCGAATGTTTTGCTGGCTTCACAGCACTCGCATTTGTGTCCGGTGGCGGGCCACATACAGCAGCCTCAGCCGGGTATTCTACACGCCATGCACATGCACATATGCACCTGCGACAGCACTACAGTTACGGCCTACACTGAAGGGCAGTATAAGTGTTCATCGCGCAGGCAACATGCACTTCGCATGACTCGTGGTGTGTTGAATTCATGCAAAAGGTGGGCACACAACCGTACAGCATGCAGGTGTACAAGTATGGCACAACAAAGATGCGAACAGGCTAGTGACCAAGATAAGGCATGTAGTAAACCGTCAGTGCGAACGTGTCAAGCATTAAATTCAACAGTGCATCATGCAACATGCAAATCTCGTGAGCTGTACAGCACGTTGCAACATGCACACGCTGGTAATTCGGTGCCTCCGTGTTGTGGCTCCTTTCATCCCCAAAACGACAAAGACAGCATATGTGTAAGAAAGTATACAGGACAAGTCAAGCTAGACATCACCGAGTCGGCCTAGTGGAGCTGACCTTCCGGCACCATGGATACCCTACCGTCTGGGAATGTGACCGTCGCAAAATTGACTGGTCGTGCAATCCGGGATTGCAGGTCGATCACCGTCGGTGCCCGGGAGCTCGCAGTCTGGATGGGCGTAATGGGCACTCCACCTCGGATACCAAAGCGCTCCGCAAACCGCTCCCTCAGCTCAAACTCAAACACGATGTTGCCGAGCTCCTGGGTCTTGGTGGACTGATCACGACAGGCCTCCCGAAGCTCCTGCAAGACCTGGTCTGTCCTCTCCAGCAGGTCCGAGTGTTCCTTCTGTGTCTCCCCATGGGCCAGGAGGAGGTCGATGGCTCTGTTCTGTCCCGCACTGTCGATCGGTGCGGCCCATCGCCGCTCCAATCTGTGCCAGAGAGCCACCCATGTTGTCCACGTGATTCTGGAGGGTGGCGAGGCTCTTTTCCATGGTCTTGAGGAGGGTGACCTTGTCCTTATGCAGCTGATTCGCCTGCCCCCGATTCAGCCCCACGTCATCCTGGATCGATTGCATCTTTGTTTTGCTCCCAACCTCCACGCTCAAGTACCGGTTTCAGGACCTCCACCACTGTCTTCGTAGGATCATATGACTCGAACAGTTTGGCCAGCCCGGTAAACTTGTTGTGCATTTTCTCCAAATTCTTGTCAAGGAGTTCTACACGCGCCAAGGTTTCGCGGCATCTGTCCAGGACGGAGTTGGAGCCATCCCCCGGCGTGGGGGTAGCCGCTGCCGCTGTTGTACCAGCCGCCACCTTGCCAGCTCCATCCTCGAGGTCCGCCTGAACTTTCAGGAGGATCTCTCGTACATTCTTCACCACATCTAATATGGAGGTGGCTGTCGCTGTCTTCGGCATTCTGACCGAGAGCTCACTGAGGAGGTTGTTCACTGCCTTTGCCAACTCGACATAGCCTTGCAAGGTTTCCTCCAGTTGGCTCAGAAACTCTGCCAGCTGCCTGTCATGGAAAGCCAGAAGTCCGAGAAAGTGCTGCATGGTACGCACTCCCGCAATGAACTCCTCCATCATGTAGTGCCGTAGGAGTCCACTTCCCAGGTCATCATGCTCCCCAGTTGGGTCCGACAGTTTCTCCAGCATACTGTGGACCATCTCGCTGCACTGGCCCAGTGTCTGTTCCATGGTGGCCAGGCGGTGTTGTGCCCTAACCATCCAGTACACTGTTGCGACCACGAAGGGAGTCGCGAGCAAGACCATCGCCACCGTCTCAGGGCTCCACCCTGTGACCAGATGGGCGAGCGCACTCAGCATGCCTTGAAGCACTGAGGCCATCAGGCGCCATGCTTGCATCCCCTCGTCCCTCTGCACCTGGCACATCCCAGCCTCCACCTGCAATTCCATCACGGAAGCTTTTGCCATGTGGCGGCAGCGAAGGGCGTTTAAGCTGAGGGCAGGGTTCGGGCCTTGGGCACACACAAACAGGAAGCACGGTTGCAATGAAAGGCTCTCAGATCCATGTCTGCCATGACGGTTGCAGCAAGGTTCACACTGTGGCGTTTCCATCGGATACCAGTTACAACCGCACGGAGCCTCTGGAATGTGTTGCACACTGACAGAGAAGGCTTAACAGAAGCTGTTCAGTCCTGTTTAGTTGTCACCAAAGCAAGCATCACAATAAGGAGACAAGCAACCAAGAACACCTAGATCAACCCGTTCACTCCAGCCCGATGACAACGTCCGAATTCTCAGAATTCAAATGGCAAAAGCGCACCTCATGCTCTATACAAGCAGTGCTTGCTGAATTCCCATGCCCATGCGAAGAATCCTCCTCATCTGAAGACATGCATACATGCACGGAATGGTCACCCTTCAGCGCTCCGGGAGCCCAGCGGCGAGCCTGGAGCTGAATCGTCTCCGGTAGGCTCAGCTGGACCAAAGGTTGTCCGTGCCAGTCCGACATCACACATCGTGCTTCTTTCGCAGCACTCGCAGCATGGAACCCAAGCCCCACAAGCAGCTGCATGTCAATTGTGCTAATGCTTGGCCATCCTGCGGGAACCCATGCGAGAAGGACAATCCGCTCTGCCGCTACGCGAATCGGCATGTGCCAGCGAGAGCGTCCATCAAATCTGTACGCCCGACCACAGAGGATTTCCCCAGAACAAAGTCGTTCAGGCCCACAGTTCACGTAGATCCGTCCCTCCGGATTTTCTACCCACGTCCCGCCAGGAGAGTTCGGGCTCAGGTTGACGAGGAGGGGGGAAGCGTGCATTCTGGGAGTCTTTGTGAGGTGCCTGGGATACCGTGCGCTGTACTTGCAAGGTTATAAAACAGTCACTGACAAAGAACTTCTTCACATGCTCCACCAGCAACCTGGTAACAGTCGGGAACTTGAGCGTCGTGGTTCGTATCCCTGCTTTGACATGCACATATGCCCCAACTGCAAAGGAGTCTGACACGAAGAGGAGCTGGTCAGCCAACTCTAGGAGTTCAGCATCTGTCCAGCAGCCTTTGCAAAGCAAATGTTGCGCCATCAGTTCAAGGTCCATGGATCCCGATTTTTATCCTTCCCCAGTAGCTCGCGAGGACACAGCTACGGCAATTTGCGACCGTCCTGCCCCCACCCCTCATTCTCCCTTCCCTTACTCTCCTCACAAGTTGCATGTGCTTCACTGTCATGGTCCGAGTATCTGCCAGAGCCCATGGTGAACACGCCTGAAGTCATCCCCGAAGAAAGCTACATCGAAGGCCAAGGTCCGGACCAGATACTTGGTGGGCATCGGCACCGCACAGAACTTACGGACTCTGCTGGTCAACTCTACCGGTGGTTGCTTGGGTTGGAGCAGGAGTTGTCATGTCCTTCCTGCAGTCCTGCAAGTGCCCGAATGGCATGAGGTAAGTCGGAGAGCATGCTCATCGGCACCGATTCCTGGAACAGTTCCCTACGAAGGACCTGGAGCGGGACTGCCAACTTGACATGGGGCCTGCCAAACGTTGCAAGAAGTTGGACCAGCTTGCATCCAAGTGTTAGGAGAGACATACAGGCCGCCAAGGGCAGGTCTAGGGGGGGCCTAACTTGAACACAGACTTCTCTGCTAGAGTCACGTCCATGCAGCAGCAAAACAGCCTGGCAGCTACCAGCACAGGGGTCATACATCAGCCACACCAGCGGCGTCCGCATGACACGTGGTTCCCTGATCCACACGACACCTGTGGGATAAGCTTCCTCCAGTACATCTCGAGCCGGCCTAAGGTAGACCTCCTCAAGCTGTTTGGGCCTATGCAAGATCACAATTTGTCGGTCAAGCAGGTAGCCCGTCGTTGGCCTGGGTTCTCGATCACGTGGAAGCCAGTGCAGTACCCAACACGGGAGTAGTGTATTCTTCTTTTTTCGATCGCGGGCATACACTTCCCAAGCTGGACACTGGATCCTATCCGCATCCGAAACCAACTTCGTGTATACCTTCTGGAGTTTCCGAATCGTCAGATCCGAGATCCAGGCAGCTTGCAGTCCACGGCGCAAGTTGGAGACCGTGCAATGGTGCAAGAGAAGTCGCATGGGGTGCATAATGGGACAGCGAGCAAGATGTCCATGGTACGACCATAGCCTACGCAGCTCCTCCAGTCAGGTCCATCCGTAAGGGAGCACATGAGCTTGACCGAGCGACGACGACTAACCCAGTTGTCAACCCAAGGGAGCAGAGGGTCTGTTCCTATGCGGCACAAAGAGAGCAGATAAGTATTCTTGCTTCCCTCCACTGATTTTAATGTCCTGGCATCCGGATACATGCACGGTGCAGCCCACTGCCATTTAGAAGTGACATATGCATCAAAGAGCTGCAATCTGATTGCCAAAGGAGTGGTGCTGTCATCCAGCAGTTTCTTAAAGGCGTAAAAAGTGTTGCTGGTCTTACGCATGAGATGTGACAGGATCAACTGGGGCCCCGGACTGTGTCCCAGTGGGACTCCTAGGAAGACCAGACGGTCCTCTCCCTGTAGCGGTTTCACCGTTCGGGGTAGCCAGAGACCCGGCGTGCATCCCTCAGAGTCATTCAAAACCCTGAACTTATCAGAGTTCACCACCAGGCCTATCGTCCTCAGTGTCTGCACAATTTCGCGAACCTTAATCTGCAGCGCCCTCTCAGAATCCGCAAAGACAATGAGATCGTCTGCCGTATATGAGGAAGTGTGGGAGTCCCTGCAGCTTTTCCTCCCACTCCGGGAAAGAGGCAGCAATCCTAGGAAGCAATGGGGACAAATACCAATCCATGATACGCGAGAAGAGGTCCGCCGAAAAAGCAGACCCTTGCATGATCCCACGTTGCATTGGGAAATGTTTGCTAATCCCTCCCATGCCTACTTCAACCGTGTTCCCGAAACACAGCTTCATGATGCTAAGTGCTTCTGCGCAAGGGTTGCACGCCATCAGCCACTGAAAGACTGCCTGGTGCGAGACACTATCAAAAGCCGCCTTGATGTCTAATTTAGCCACCTTGGCGGTACGTCCTGTCATGCGTTTAATCAGAGACATCGTGCTTTGTGCCGCCGTAATTCCATCCAACACCTGCACTCCTGGTCGACAGGCAAGTTGGTTGGCCCCGTACGGTGGGGCAGACTGCCGCAATCGCATCATCACCACTTTGGCAAACAGGCGACTCAAGGTGGGCACGAGGCAAATGGGGCGCAAGTCGGCTGGCTTCTGTGGTCGGGGAATCTTAGGAAGAAGGACGATTTTCCCCTTTAGCCAACTGTCAGGTGGCCGACTCTCTCCCCGCAGCAGCCTTGTGAAGTACTCTGGGATTCTACCCTTGTCATCACGAGCAACCAGGACCTTAAGGCCCTCAAACGTAACCCCATCCAGTCCTGCGCTAACCCCCGAGTTACACTTCGAGAGCGCCTTCTGGAGCTCTTCTCTCGTAACCGGAGTGGCGTTTACGCCGCCATGTTTCTGGGCCGCCATATCCCAGTGTCCTGACGAGATGGGGGGCTCCTCCGAGGCATATTTCTGCTCATAGAAAGCGTGTAGGTCTCCCACTGCCTTAGTGAGCCCACCTGCCCTAAACAAGTAGGAGCCCTCAGTAAATGACCCTGCAGCACTGCATCGGAGATGAGCGATCGCTCGACGGTCTCCTGCCCTAGCTCGAGCCAGTAAGTCCTGCTTGTGCTTCTGTTTCGCTTCCTTACGAGACTGATGGATCTCCTGCATGAACGCCGCCCGTGTGTCCTTATCCTTGGTCTGCTTTCGCCGCTCTATAAGTTCTTTAATCTCAGGAGGATCCACATACTTAAGCGACGACGGCCTGCACGCCACTCCCGGCTGTTGCACCGCCTCCTCAATGACGGACTGATCCCAAACCTCTCGATCCTCGAGCTGCGCCCATAAGGCATCGCCATCAACAACCCATTTCCCGCATCTGGTCTGGCGCGGTCGTCGCTTCAGACGGGTCTTACCAACAGACAGACTTAGGTGCATTCCTACCGCATTGTGGTCCGACGGCAGTGCAACTCTGACATCTTCCCGGATCCAGAAAGACACCTCAGAGGCCGGGGGCCGGAACAACAGGAAGTCGATGCTGGAGGACGAGCCTCTAGCTATCCATGTCGGACCCTGGTCCGGGCTCAACTCCGGCCGCGTCCTAGCCAGGACCTGTCTGTAGTGCATCATTCCATCAAAGGAATCAACCGCCGCGTGGACGTCTTGATTGAGGTCGTGACCTACCATTACCACCGCATGCGGGGTACACTCATCCAAGGCTTCCTGAAGGCTCGACAGGTTACTCTTCCATACCTCCAAGGCATCGGGTCTATGTGCATGTGGAAAATGCATGGCAGCCAAAAACATGTCTCTCCCAAGCATCGTCCCTCTCACGCTCACCCCAATCCCATGCACTTGCAGATCATGCAACTTAAATTCCAATGCACATGCAATCAAAACAACAGAGCAGCGATGGCTCAGTGCTGGATTTGCCACATAGGCCACGAAGTCCTTTCCCGCGACCACACAAAAATCTTCACGATACTGTTCTAAGGCTAAGCCTTTGACATCACCTACCTCTTGTAGGAACATAACATCCGCAGGCACCTCCAGTCCAGCGAGCAAGGTCGACACACTTTCGATGCCTTTACCATGCAAATTCCATGTCATGCATTGTAAATTAACTACGTCCCTCCCCCTCCCCATGTTGGGTTGCGACTGCAGCGGCGACTGCAGGTACGTGTCACCTATCGTCGTCGTCGGTGATGCATGCAGCGTAGCTCTCCCTCCGACTCCCTAAGCGGCATCATAGTGCTGCAGCACTGCATCCTCGCTCACACCCAGTACTGCTGCAACCTTGGTCACATCCAGGAACCAACCTGTTTCATTCCCTCGCGCGTCGGTGAGCATCAGTGTATGATGTGCCCTCGGTGCAGCAGGGCCA